TGCAATATAGCATTTTAAAATTGTATGTCCTAGGTTTTTAGGGGGGCTACGGCTAAGTTTGAAGGGGGTTGGCTTAACCCCCCCCAAGCCCCCCCCCCAATTTGTGCATATTCCTGAGAGCCTCGTCTAAACTTACATTCATTTTTATATTCACCATTGTTATGTATAGATAGATTGTATAATATATAATATATATGTATAATTATATTAATTATATATACTGTAGCTCTGTTCATTAAAACTTTAATTTGAATCCGTTCTAATTTTTTTTTTTTAAATAATCGTCATTCAAAAGATTATTTTAATCGATACTCACAACTGCTTTGGCGCGATTCAGTAAATCACGCGACTAAAGTTTCCTTTAAGTTACCATGGCCGTGTTTTATAATAATATTATATTATATATATTTTAAACGTATTGCGATGGTATCTAAACGGTCTGGTCTAGCTGGTATATGCCGGTACCTATAGGTATAGGTACCATCTACCTACACGCAGCGATCCTATTACATTACTAATTGATCATAAATTACTTACCGCGTATATTATACCCGGTCAATGCATCTAATACCTATATATGTTATTTATAGGTACTCAAACAAACGAGGTTAGATGACAATCGGGAAATCGAGTAAAACGATCGTGGCCGAGTGTGTGTGTGTGTGTGTGTGTGTGTGTGTGTGTGTGGGCTCGAAGAACTGCGGCCACATTTTTTAACCGATCATTAAGCCACGCCACAGGTACTTATTATCACGCTACTTATTTTTTACACAGTCTTAGCTGAGTATAGTACCTATGCTATTATCTGCAAAGTACACAACATGATATATTATACATGAACATATTATATTATGATACTGTTTAAGTTTAATTATTATTAAATAGTTGACATTAGGTAGGTACCTACAACGTCATGAAGTCCGCATATATACGCAGGTCGCAGTGTCGTTATTATTATCACTATTGAGTAATAAACGTTATGTAGGTAGGTGGTATACCTAGTATGGCTCAGACTCTGTAGGGCTATCTATATTATATTCTAATGTGCCTATAACGACTTTGAAATAAATTATTTCTTAAGAGCTAGGTTAGTCATGGACAATAGGTAGGAACGATATAGTTTTAAGATCATACAATAAAATCAATATTTATAATTACTAATTAGAATGTCATAAGATTCGATTATATATGTACCTAGATAAATAAACAATAATTATATTATTATATATTAACTTTTATTTATTAATAGTAATTTAAATGTACCTACTTAATAATTAGCTACTATACAGCTCCTTTTGGCTTCTTATAAAGCGGAATCCTACGTGTATCCAAAAATACAAATACAATTATAAAGTCTTTCCAGCATGCCAGTTGAAATATTTTTTGAAGGGGGGGGAAGGCAACAAAAAATATTTCGCAAATCGTAATTTATGGTAAATCAGTGATTTAAATAATTGATGTTCGTGTTATATGTAAATCATCTAAAGCGGAGTTGGTGCACGGCACCATGCCCTCCCCCCACGGACGGCCACGATTTTCAGTCAATATCCCCCAGAATAATAACCAATGCTCCAGGTGCCATGGTATGTAAGTAATCGAACCCTCTATAATGACCTCAACATAATGATCATCCATAAAAGCACCTAAACTGTACAAACGATTCCATAAAAAACTGCATCATCATTCACATCCTCTCAATCAAATTTATTCTGTCTTGACATAGCCGATACAACCCATCGACTGAAAAGAAAATGGTCAAGAGACCTTTTAACCTAATCATTATTCATAGGTAGGTACTCAATTTTACATATTATATATAAAAAAAATACTTTAATTCGGTAACTAGTTGGCTTATTATAGTGTTATTATTACTTTATGTATCAGTATACACTGTACAAGTACCTATTTCCTAATGTCAATTAATATTTTCGTTCATCATGTAAACGTCGTGTCATTATAGTTTCATTTTTGATGAAATCTTAACTTTATGTATTACTTAAATATTCCAAAAAGGAAAGTTGTAAACTTAAAGAACAAATATTTTAATAATAAATTGAAAAATAACATAATTATTTTAATTTTTGTTATGAATTTAATACAGTTTTTGTATGAGCTACATACATGCTGGCACTAGTAGTTTTTATTTTTTAAAGGTACTAATTACTGCATTAGTTGGGACACATATTAATTAGGCCATAATATTGTCATTCATAAAGGAAATAATAACACATTTTTTGTCATATTATATCTACAAATATGCAAATAGTAAATAAATAGTAAAATAATTGTTTTTTCTTGTCTTAGTTTTTTTGTTATAGAATATTTTAAAACAATATTAAATCACATAATATATATTATATATATTTTTTTTTTTTTTTTGGATTGAGGCTTCGACAACTGCAGAGGTCACAAGCCTGTGGAACTGTAGGGGAGGTTGCTGTAGGTTTTGAACATGTGTGTGTTTTGTTTTGGCAGAATTTTTTAAGTGGGAACCCGTAGGTATATGCCACGCACGGGTGGGGGATGGCGGCCTCTCTCTCCGGACATCGCGACTGCCCGAAGAAAAATGTCACCCGTGGCCGAGTTCGAACCAAAAGCCGCTCGGCCACTCCATCCTTCATAATATATATTATAATATGGGTTATGGAACCCTATATAACAAAACACTACAAAACTGGTGCCGGCTACAAACATCAGTTATTTTTGATTAAATTAATTTTGATATTTGGAGATAATTATATTATATTATATTTATAATTATGCTATAGATAATGTGTGTACCTACAGAAAATTATTGGAAGAAAATGGACAATGTAGGCAAACAGGATTTATTTTTTGAGGAAAATTGTCCCGCCCATTAGTTTGTATAATACTATAATTAGATTTCAGAATTCTTCGGGTAGATTGTCAGTAAACTAGTTAGATCAAAATAATTTTTTTTTAATTTTCTAATTAACAAACATTTTAATTTTTCACTATACAAAAAATAACTATTTTGTTATGAACATTATTTTATGAGTGAACAGTTATTATAATATAATGTGATATATTTATATCATTTTTTTCTTTCAGCATATAATATGCAATTTAGAGGGTATATCACTAATACCTACCATGCTAGGTTCAAATAATATGTGTATTGCTGGGAAAATATGCATCTACATAATAATATATGATAAGGAATCGCATTTTGCTTGTGGACCGAGTAAGTGTAATAAATAAAACAACTTGGAACCCAAATGGTGGAGAATTTATATTTCTAAAAATCTGATCCAACTAGTACCTTAGAGTTGTTTATGATACACGGAGACCAGGAAACACGATGAAGCAACTTTGCCAGTGAAGGTATCGGTTGCCTTTTGAATATACTTAGATATTTAGAAACTAACTAACTACTTACTTTAGCCAGTATTCTTAGTAAACATAACATAATATTATGATACTAATAGGTGCAGATTGTAATTTAATGAATGTACGTATGCTACTATGCTAAATCAAATTTACTTAGTGTGGAAATACTATTATAGTCGTAGTATAATTCTAACTAAGCTATTTAATAATTATAGGTAATCTAATCAATAATTATGCTACATAAAAACTGTATAGTAACTGATGGTAGACAATAACTACGATATTTAAATTATATTATGCTAGTAAATATCTACTTAGATTTTAAGGCTTAAAAATAAATATGGAAAGTGTATAGCGGTTCGATAAGGAAATAAAATAACAAACAAGTATGTTTAATAGTAAAAAAAATAGTTAATCCTAAATGACCATAATCGGATGTTTGAATAACCCAATGTGTACATAATATTATTATTTGAGGGCACGGCAAGTACTCATTTTATTATTAAAAAGTCGAGATGGACGTTGAGTGTTGAGACTTTTACTAAGAGACGCTTCAATGTGGTTGTTTTCGTTCAACCCTTGTATAGATGTCACAGTCAATCAGTTTGTGGTAATGTCATTACTTCTACATTTTAAGAGTATCGGTGGTAAGAAACATTATAGGAGATCGATACGGCCATTAGTTTATGTGTGTCTTGTGCAAAGTAATTTTTGCTAGAGTGGTATTTTGTAGAGCATTGGTGCTTTTGATCACACTTGTGCCTTGTGTATATTATTATGTATAATAATATGCATATTGCGTTATTCTATACCCAACATAGTCACTTTGGAATTAGCTATTCTGTTTATTTATTTATACATAATAATATGGAAATATTTTATACTACTAATATTGAATAGAAATTCGATTTTCACCACGTCCTCGCCGCGGTGAATTACATTATATTATACATTTTTATTTGATTACATATTATAATATTGTTTAGTAATTAGTAAAGTGTAGTGGTTGTATTAATAGTTACAATCAAAATGGCATTGTGGATATAATAAAATATAAAAAAATCAATTATATGAATGGTATAGACTACAGATACAAGACAACAAATTAAATTAATATTGAATAAACTTTTTGTGTTAATTTGGATATACTATAAATTACATTTTTAGAACAATTATTATATGAGAAGGTAGTACAACTGTGAACTGCCGTATTTTTATATTGGCGTGTGGTAAAGTAAAATAAAATATGTATTCTTTTATAGTAGGTACTCTGTTATAATGAGTTGTGGTAATATTATGTTCGTAATAGATCACATGATGAACTAAATCTTTTTTTTTATTATTCCTAAACTTGTATTATGTTGTAAATATATTTGTTATCTCTTACTTGTTATCTCTAATTTGTCTTTTGCACAACATGTTTTGATGTAAAGAACGTGTAATTAGAGATATTGTAATATTATTGGTGTTGGTGTAATTTAAATTTTTTGTAGCTGGAATTGTTTTAGTTATTGCCATCATTTTCCGATTATGTAATAAATTGTCTTAACTATAAGTTAAGCAAAGGTATAAGTTTGGAGTCCTGGTGTTGGTGTGTTGTAGAATTATTGTGGTTAATACCATAATTATTGTTGTTACAGTGCTTGAAATTACTGGTACCATTGTTGCTGGTTATATTGTGTCTGGAAAAATTGTGATTGGTGACTTTGTACTTGTTGTTGGTATTGTTGTTGATAGAATTGTTGTGGTGGGAGCCATCGCCGTTGTTGTTGAAGTATTTGAAAATATTGGTGTTGTTGTGTTTGGAAATACGGTTGTTGGTGACTTTTTACTTGGCGTTGGTGTTGTTGGAGATATAACTGTTGTGATAGATAAAATTGTTGATTTTGTTGAGGCGTTTGAAATTGTACTGGTGTGGTTGTTGTTAATGTTGTTGTGTCTGGAAACATTGTAGTTGGCGGCGTTGTAGTTGGAATAGTTGGTGGTGTTGTAGTTGACATGGTTGTTATTGTTGTAACTGGAAATGTTTTGGGTATTGGCATGTTATTCTGTTTGAATAGTCGCTTTCTCAACCTTTTCTTTTTTGATTTGCTTAACTTTAACGGGATTGTAGTCTTTGTGATAGGTGTCATTTCACTTGTTGATGTTGATGCCATAGTTATTGTTGCAGTGTTTGATGTTGCTGGTGTTGTTCTACCCGGAATTATTTTGGTTGGGGACATGGTACTTCGTATTGGTGTTGTTGTAGTTGGAAATCTTCTGGGTGTTGTAGTTAGAAATCTTCTGGGTGTTGTAGTTAGATTTCTTCTGATTGTTGTAATAGTTTTTGTAGGAGTGTTTAAAGTTAATGATGGTATTGTGACTGGAGTTTTTGTTTCTGGAAATATTGTAATTGGTGACACGCTACATGTTGTTGTTGTGATGGGTGCTATCATTGTTTGGTCAGATACGTCGTTGAACAGATCCATTTGATCAATTAGTTCAAACCATGGAATCCTTGTGGTTGGTGATATTTTACTTGGTGTTGATGTTGTTGTAGTTTGAATTGTGATGGTTGGTGCCATCGTTGTTGCTGTTACAGTATTTGAAATTTTTGGTATCATTGTTGCTGGGGTTTTTGTGTCTGGAAACAATGTGGTTGATGATATTGTACTTGGTGATGGTGATGATGTTGTTGTAGTTAGCAATGTTTTAGTTGATGACATATTTATCTGTTCATTATATTTTCCCTTTAACATTCTTTTCTTTTGTATTGCACTTGTTGTAGTTGATGCCATAGTTGTAGTTTCAATGTCTGAAATTATTGGTGTGTTAGTGATTGGAGTGTCTGTTTCAGGAAACATTATTGTAGCTGGTGACATTATACTTTGTGCTGGTGGTTTTGTAGTTAGAAATGTTGTGGTTGATGCCATAGTCATTGTTACAGTGTTTGAAATTACAGGTGTCATTGTTGCTGGTATTTTTGAGTCTGGAAATATCTTGGATGGAATTGTTGGTATTTGTATAAATGGCATTGTCATAGTTATAGATGGAATTATTGTAGTTGGATCCATCGTCGTTATTGTTGCAGTGTTTGAATTTACTGGTGTCATTATTTCTAGGGTTTTTGTGTCTGGAAATATTGTGGTTGGTGATCTTGTACTTGGCGATGGTGTTGTTGAAGTTAGCAATGCTTTAGTTGATCGTAAAATGTTCTGTTTATTATATTTGTTCCTAAACATTCTTCTCTTTTGTTCTTTGCTGATCCGTAATGAGTGTTGATTCCTTGTGGTTGATGGTTTTTTACTTGGGTTTGTTATAGCTGTTGTAGTTTTCATTATTATGGTTGGTGACATTGATGTTATATTTACAGTATTTGAAATTACTGAGGTTATTTTTGCTTGTGTTTTTGAATCTGGGAACATTGTAGTTGGCGTCATTGTACTTGATATCGGTCTTGTTATTGTTAGAAATGTTGTGGTTGATGCCATAGATGTTGTTGCAGTATTTGAAATTACTGGTGTCATTGTTGTTGATGTAGTAGTGTCTATACATTTTTTAGATGGTATTTGTTTACTTGACGTTGTCAGAGTTATTGATATATTTATTTCGGTTTGTGCCATCGTTGTTGTTGTTACAATATTAGAATTTACTGGTGTTTTTGTGTCTGGAAACAATGTGATTGGTGATATTGTACTTAGTGATGGTGTTGTTGTAGTTAGATATATTTTGGTCAATGCGATTATTGACTGTTCATTGTATTTTCTCCTTAACCTTATTTTATTTTGTTGTTTGCTTTTATATAATGGGCGTTGAGTCATTGTGGTTGGAGACATTGTAATTGTTGTGGTTGATGCCTTATATGTTGTTGTTGCAGTGTTTGAAATTATTGGTGCTATTGTGACTGGAGTTTTTCTTTCTGAAAGCATTGTAATTGGTGAAATTACACTTGGTGCTAGTGTTGTTGTAGTTATAAATGCTATGGTTGATACCATAGTCATCGTTCCAGACGAAATTGTTGGTGTGGTTGTGTCTGAAAATATTTCAGCTGTGTTTGTTGGTATTTCTATAGTTGGAGTTGCCAGAGTTATAGTTGGAATTATTGTGTTGGGTGCCATCGTTGATGTTGTTACAGTATTTGAAATTACTGGTGTCATGGTTGCTGGGGTTTTCGGGTCTGGAAACATAGTGCAGCTGGTTGACATTTTACTTGGTGTTGATGTTGTTGTAGTTGATGACATATGTGTTGTTGTTTCATTGTTTGAACTTACTGGTGTCATTATTGCTTGTGGTTTTGTGTTTGGACAAATCGTGGTTGGTGAAATTGTACTTGGCGATAGTAATGTTGTGGTTGGATACGGTCTATTTGGTATACCATGCTGTTCTTTATATTTTCGCTTTCGAATTCTTCGCTTTCGATTTTTGCTTATAAATAATGGGTTTCGAATCTTTGTGGTTGGTGGTATTTTAATAATTGGTGTTGGTTCTGATGCAGTCGAAATAATTGTGATTGGTGCTGTCATTGTTGTTGTTACAGCATTTGAAATGTTGTGACTTGAAACATTGTAGTTGGTGTTGTTGGACATCCCAATGATTTAAGAAGTTTGCCTGAAATATAGTATATTTATAAAATATAAATATAATATATATATATATATATTTACTCATCTTCTAAGTGACTTAGAACGAAATAATGATAAAGTGGCTGAAATTTAAACTTTAAATGTGTTATTTAAAAAAAAAAAAAATAATTATAAATTTGAAACAAAAAACTATAGGAACTGCTCTTTGTTGGTATAGTAGCTTTTAGTTGCACTTTAAATACTGTACTTATTGCATTTTAGAAATGACAGATGCTCGATGGCAGTGTTATCTGTCACAATATCACTGATAACATTGCTATAATAGTTTATATATATATTAGGAATCATTTTATTACCTCACTTTAACCATGACAAATTAAATAGGTATGTCAGCAATATTACCAGTTTAGAAACAAATCGAGCATTTACCCTCCGCCCAGCTTAGTACGGTGACATAAGCATTTCTCCGGTTCTCATTGGTCCATCTCCGTCACTGCCGCAATCGCCACCGACGCCGAAGACCAACCACCACTCCACCGCTCAACCAATTGGAGAAATGCTTACGTCACAGACATGCGTATCACGAATTGCTGACATAACTAGCTATTTAATTTGTCATGATTTTAACTAAGCATACATTTTGGCAATCTCAATTACCAACATTTTAATATTATTTTTTAGTTCCATATAATTAATCATATTAATACTAAAAATTAAACTAATAATTAGATAGTTTTAATAGATTCTACTCATCTGAAAACATAGGAATGGCAAGTTAAACTTTATCTATTTTGGGTCTGGTACAAACAAACTCCAAACACTGTGTCTATTTGTACCCAAACATGTTGACTTATAACTCTATGTGTCCAAACGTTCAGCGCCCATAATAATATCGATAAATGGGTGGGGGGGATGGCACTATTTATTTACCGTGGTACTGCACAGTGCACAATATGTAAAATTTATCATTTTAAAAATCTTGTAAAATTTATTATAAGTATGCACCTAATATATATTGTTTATTGCATGCGATTCATAATTATAGGTATAGTAAGACATATACTAAACAGAATAGAGTAAATTAGTAATATCGATCTATTAGTTGTTGATACATCACTGAAAAAATAACTTACTGTTCTGCTTTACTTAATAAACATTTAATGCATGAAACAAACTACAATCATAGTTACAATTCAGATGTATAGAAAAACATAAAAACATTCAAATGATATTCATAAAACTTATAATATGCTATCTTTATAATTGTATACCTCTATTAAATGTATAATTCTATAGACTATAATAGGGGAGGTGTAGCAATTGTAATATTTTCAATACTATTATTCATTTCTAAGAAAATTAAAACTATTTAGTTCTGATTTTGCACTCATTTAATTAAGTAACTTATTATATTTATAAAAATGTATATTTGAACCCTAACTTTCAAAGGTACCTAAATCCATAAAGTTTGATGGAAAAAAAAATTGTTACGAATGTACCCCATGCTAGATAAATTGTAACAGTGCCAGTGTCAAATGTAATACATAATATAAAATGTATTAATTAAATTTATATTTGTATTGTTTAATTCTTTATAACAACATACTTATACCTATTAAGTATCAAAGAAAGTAAATATTTCCAAATTGTATCAAACATTATAATAATTTAAGGGCTCAGGGCTCAGATGTATGTATATGGATTTATAGGTACATAATATTATTAAATACTCAAAATAATTATGTAAAATTTAAATTCAATAATATTATATACTAGCTGTCCCGCCCGATGTTGTCCAGCGAAGATTTGTATTTTTATAAATATATTTGTACAAAATGTATATACCATATTTGAATATTTCTTCTAATTATAATATGTTACGAATTGCAACCATTTAGATAGACAAAAAAAAAATTATTTTTTCTTATACTAAAAAAAATCCTGTGTGAGCAACCCTTTACCAATCCACAGCCTAGACAAACATTTATTTTTATATATATAGATATAGATTGTTATTATTTTAGGCCACCCATTTAATTTTACCAAAGAAAATTATTATACATTAAAACCTTCCCCGTGACTCGACCAATTTATTAATGAAAACCGTATTACAACAAGTAGAGTTCTTTTTGAGATATGCTCGTACATACAAAATTCAAAATAGGGGCAGTATTTCTCTACTATATTATGCATGTTATATACGTATAAACCTTCCTCTTGAATCACTCTACTAATTAAAAAACCGCATCACATCTGTTACGTAGTTTTTAAAAATCTAATTATCTAAGCATACAGACAGAAAGGGGACTTTGTTCTTATAATGTGTTAAGATAAGATAAGATCTTCTATGAATTGAAATAACAAAAATGTATAATGAAGGTATACACTGTATAAAAAATGTGGATATTATATTAAACATTACTTAAACATTTGTGCATTTAATAAAAATTTAAGAAATAAATATTAGGTGTAGGTACCTATAATAATTGAAAAGTATAATATGTATCAAAATAATATAGGTAATATTATCGATTTTTGACCAGATAGATAGATGGTAAGTAATCACACTTCACTATATATTAGCCATGTGTATGAATATAAAAACCAAACAATTTTACCAACAACCAACGTTCAACATTCCAATCAGGTATAATAGTATAATACTTATAAGCTTATGTCTATTTTATATGTTGTCTTATATAGTTATATTATAATATCAATACCGAATTCTTATCTATTACCTTCAGAGGCACTATACACAACATTGAAGGCGGTGTTATTGTTACGAACCGGGCCTATTCAATTTTCGAAAAAATAAACAATATAAATCAATCAATACAATAGGTACAATACATGAATGTTATTTTTTCGCTGAGCTAAGCTCTACAAGTTACAGCTATGATAATGCATCGAGATAGATAAGAAAAGATAGTATTCTTATCTATCTCGATGTGACAATGTAATAAGTGATAACATGCTACAAATCAAAACAGGTCAGTTAGTTTGTATAGGACTATTTTTTAAGTTATTCGCTCCTATGGTTAATACAATTTAAATTCCATTTGGCATTTCTATTGTTGTTATTATTATTATTATCAGTACATAATATTATTATTTATTACAGTAATGTAACCCAACATAATTTATTGTATGTTTCTGAAAAAAATGAACAATAACATTCCTAACAGAATATTTTATTTGTTCCCTGCGAATGATTTTTTTTTAAATGTAATACAAGGATAATATTATATTTTAATCAATTTTAATTTTTTTTTTCCAGGAGTATTTTCAATTAAGTTAAAAAGCAGGGCTTGCATTTGAAAAAAAAAATTCTGTTTTATGTTATTTACAATTAAAACGTTATACACAATTTTTGCGAAAATCATTATTTAGAATTAAAATGTTATTCAACTTTTGAGTTTATCGTTATTCAGAATTAAAACGTTATCCAAGTTTTACTTTTATCGTTATTCGTTATACAGAATTAAAACTTTAAGGTACGATTTCCCTGCAGCGTCTGGACGCGGTTTCCTTCTAGCTACCTGGGTATAGGAATTAAAAAAATAAGTAAACTATAAGCATCTTCGAAATCTTAAGTAATTTATTAGTATAACTTTTTATTGAAAACGGTCCAGTAGTTTTTGAGTCTATTACAACTTCGAATAAACCTATACGTGGGTTAAAAATAATGTGACTAACATAATATCAAAATAATGATTAGTTAAAATTATCATATCTGATCAATTATATTATATTATGTAACCTGTTTACTTGTGGCAACTATTTAGATATTATATAGATAGATTAAAGGGAAAAAAATGTGATTGCCACATTTAAAAATCAAGAATTAAAGCACGTAAAATAATAAGGCGTGTACTTTGATATATTTTCAAAATATACGTTATAATATGGTCTTTGTAACATACAAAAATCATTATTAAAAAAGTGTCATTGGTAAAGAAGAAAAAATACAGTTTTCTAATTTGTTGAATAGCTTTATTTATAAGGTCTCACCTGGTTTGTAGCTGCCTGTGGATAATGGTATTGTAATAGGAATATAGATAATACTGAATAAGCACTCAAAATATATTTTGCAGACAATATTATATGTGTACACTCGTGAGTCAAATAAAAAAATAAATACGCATACTGATTATCGATTGCGAAAATAAACCAAAAGTCACTAGCTATGGATTCTCGTCCCTCTGCAAAGACGGACGTTGTTTCTAAGATGGTGCGACCGGACTCGAAGGTGTACTCACACTGGCTACAGCCTACTGTGCTAAAGGCACACCTCGGCCATGTCGACCAGAGAACGACAGGCACAGTTTTATCAAAGATTTTTGTTTCCAAGAACTATATATCGCTCTATCTTCGAAGTTAAATCCCCATATACGTTCTCACAGAATAGAGAAAAGCCACATGACGTCTTACATATTTCCGAAACTTGATCGTACCCTTATTTACACATTGGGTGGCCATTTACTACAACCCGACAATCTGGCAGTAATTTAGGCAGCTGAATTATTACAGTGTTTCAATAACCCATGTAAGCATATGCATATCGTAAATATTATTATTTACAAATATTATACTTGATTAGTTTTACGAATTTTTCGAATAAATTCGATTTTAATTTCAGACAATTTGTTATTAGTAATTATCAATTAGGTATTTAATTAAAACTATTTTGTATAAACCATTAAGTCATTATTAAAAAAATTATATTTTTAATAATATTAATCCAATGTTTGTAAATGTCATTGTAACATATTTTATTATATAATATGATCTTCTTACTTTAATAGACATTCATGCATAAAGATAATCAAAAAAATTATTGTACTACACATATTATTATAACACTACCCATAGGTTAAATGTTGAAACACAATTACAACGGAAATTCCCATATTAATTTGTTCTATTTTTATTGGTAGGTACCAAAAATTTAATTTTTAATGGAATTTCTTTGTTATGTAAATAACATTTTAAAGTTGATT